CACTCACTATCTTACTTACTCGGAGATCTTATCGATGATGCGTTTCTTTCTCTTCATTCTCTTCTTCTCCATACGGAGTATTTCCGCTCACTTTTTCTTCCCATCTCGGACTCGTCTCTTTTTGACCTCGGACCGGGAAATCCGTGCGCGCGTTCAATCCAAACACTTTCAAACGACTAGAACGCCCAAGAACAACCCAACACGAAAGGTCTGACATCCGCCATTGCTATTTTTTCCCCATACGGACTTGTTAAGTCCTCTATGGTCGCACGGGTAATAATGGCGTTCTCGGGGGGGGGGGGGACACATATCTATTTTAACATAGGCATGGTTTCCGTATATATACAGACGGCTTGCCACCTATCATTTGACGTGCATGGTGTGCGGTAAATGTAGGTACCGCAGATCGACGGTTCCTACATGCCTGGGTTCTCATGTCCCGCAACTCTAAATCACTACTGGTACCAAAGAAAATCCGCAAGAATGCGCGCGTTGACGGATGAGGTGGTGGTGGAATGTGGTTTCATTAAAGAAAACCGCGACGGTCCCCCACAGGAAATCCAAGACTACGTTCCTCTCTCGGGATTTCCTTCATTCCTCTACGAGCCGCATAAATATGCGACAACGCGCTTTTGAGCAAAGGGGGTTCTAGGCCTTTTCTTCACTTTGCTTGATCTCCACATTATACCACATTCCGCGGTATGCCAACCGTAGAGGGAGTCTTCGAAACATAGCGCCAGCTCGAACCACCGCGGGATGTGTGGAACCACTGTTAGGCTACTTAGACACGTAGAGCACTTGAAGAAAATACACTCCAGACATATGAGAAGATGGACTCTCTTAATCAGTCGCAAGTCGGGAATCTCAAATACGTTAAACGAAGGCTGTGAATCCCAAAGGAAAGGCAGCTCGCGTGTCGCGCCCGTACAAAAATCTCATGTTCGGGTATCGCACGCCGCAGAGACCTCATCCCGCCCAAATGCCCGCTGACGACTCGAGATGAGGAGAGACGGAAAGGTTTCAGGGTGCCGGCAGTATAAAGGCAAAAAAGTTTTTTGACAAGACCGATTATCCGGAAAAGTCCTTCCCCCCCCCCCCCCCCTTTCTTGAGCCAGATCGACCTTCTCCGTCTTAAGGTGACCAACTCCCTGAGTTTAAGCTTGGGCGCTTGTTGGGCGGTGATGTCATCACGGAAAGCTGAATGTTGTCTTTGACCACTTACCATTGATGCAAAAGCTCTCGAATACATGCTACTCACTCTCTACGTAAGGGCGTATTCATGGAGATTCGTCACGGCAGCGTGCGAGGGAATGAAGTAGGACTACCCGGAATCATCACACCTCAGCACCAAAAAAACACAACCTCCCTACTCCTAAGCGTCCTGGCCGCCAACATATCGAACAGGCAGGAAATCGAAACGTGATCACATTTTCCTATAGTCTTATATGCGCCTCACGAAAGATTGGCGCCACATCACGTTTCCTCTCTCTGCTTTCCTTGATTACCTTGGTCCTTGGAAATGCCGTTTCCTAGTTACCTTGGCAGGGGTGGGCCCGTGGGTGCTGGATGGCGGGTTCCATCCGCGCCCCGGCACAAAATACCCCCTCCGCTCACGGACCGGCGATCGCGTGTGTCAGTCGCTAAGACGAAAAAAAAGAAAAGGAAGGGAAGAAGCCGTACTGAAGATTCGATAGCAGCAAGATACTACCAAGTGCCGGTCCGAGGACCAATAAAATAAATGAGTTTAAGAACATGAGCAAGCCGGCAGTCAAGGAGTTCCGGCAAGGAAACATTCCAAAAGAAAAAAGGATTCGGAGTTGGGATTAACACACGCAAACGAACACTGTCCGAGGGTGCATACGGAACGGGTACGGGTACCATGACTCCAACTACCTACCTACTTTTAGGTCCGAGTGTAGATACCTACCCATCTCAGGTCCCCGTCCTTCAGTCCATACCTACCTACGGAGTACTCTATACGCCCGCTCTTCGGTCCTTCTGCGCCGAAGAATCGGACCCTAGTGGATGATGCCCCTCCCACCATTGGAGATCTTATTTCTCTTGGGGTGGTATCTACCGGTGGAGTACATCGTCGGCCGTCATGACGCAGCACGTGGGAAAGATCATTGTCACGAAGCGCAGCGCGCGCAGACATGCATCCGAATTTTCACACTTTTAATGACAGACAGAACGGAAACAAGACTCTGCAAGTCTACAACATACATCATCTCGAATTTACGCCCATTGGGTGTAGAACGCCGAAAGTTCTACAACACTACCTAGGCCCAGACCGTCGCTGTCATAATCCTGGATCGCCGCTCATACCGCTTTACACACGCACGCGCGCATTGAAGGTATCCGTCTTTTGACGCCGATGCCAAACACAAAGAAAAAAAACCCCCAAATTAGAAAAAAATGTTTCCCCCAGGATCAACACATAAGAGTACACTGTTGGCCGCAGCCACAAACCGGCGCCGTCGCCGTTTAGTCCAATCGTCCCAAATGGCCAGGAAGAAAGGAAAGTAACCCGATTTTCTAGTCGAAGCGAAGTGTGTCTGTCTCTCTCTCTCTCTCACGACGCGGACTTATCGCTCGAGTCCTGCTCGGGGTGGTAGTTGGTCTCCCCCAGCATCGTAGTCGGCTGCGTAGTCATAGCCGTCTGCGTGTTGGGCTGCGGTTGCGTCTGTACCGTCGGACCCGTGGGCTGCTGCGCAGGAGGTTGTGACGAAGATCGCGCCGCTGTGCCCGCGGTGGCGGCGTGGAGCCTCTGATCCAACGTCTTCAGTGCCAGCGCTCGTCTCCGCTCCGCCTCGGCTCTCGCACCACCGGGTGCGCCTCTCTGTATGAAGTTGTTGCCTCGTCCGGACGGGACGTTGTCCGGGGAGAAGGGGCTGCATATCCGCATCGCTACCAGCACCTCAAAGATCTGGTTTGAAAGGGTGGCAACGAAGGGCTTCACCGGCGCCGGGAAGAACTCGGCAAATGCAAACGTCTCGCTGGCGTCTCCGCGGAGAGAAGTCGGCTGAGAAGAGTCGAGGTCAGGGAAGACGGTCTTGTAGAAGCGGAGGTATGTCCAGCTCGTGAGCAGGCCGCTCAGAGCAAGGGAGAAAGAGGCCGCCGTCAAAAGCGGCGTCAGAGACAGAATAAACACGATGCCGAGATATAATAGAGGGAATCGCGGAACTCGAAGGGACAGGATGCCGCGGAACAGAGTAACGGTATGCGCCGGGACGAGCTGGCTGAATGCGACGAGGAAAGAGATCTGCATCGGGATCGTGCCGCCAATGACGGTCAGTCTGTCAGGAGCTTGGTTAGTATCGCTGGCCGCATTCACATAAAGTAAAGATCCACTTACGTCCAACGCTCGTTCCTTGTCAGGGTGAAGAAGATGATCATGAGCGCAAAGGTCAGGACATTGGGAATCAGCGCCGTGACGGCGACGAACTTGGCCAGCTCCGCCGAAGACCAAGCTCTCTCGAGGTATCTACCACCTTGGTAAATGGTAACACCGGCAATTCCGAGCGTGAAAATGTTGTTCTCGACCAGCGTTGAGGTCAAAAAGGTCCACGGATAAATAAGGGAGAGCTGAGGGATGAGCGTCAGGTACGGTATCACGATCTCGGATGTCGCGCTCCATTGACGATAGCGGATCGCCGCGCTCAAAAACGACTGCACGACGAGGACGGCCAGCAGAATCCGGGTGACCGGCGGGATGTTGATTCGGGGCGGCATTTTGGACAGCTTCCGTTCGGGTCGGAGGTCGTCAAGAGCTCATCTAGGTTGGGATCGTGAGTTGGGCAAGCTCGCTTTTTTGCCCTTCAGATATCTGGTTCCCGGAGCCTCACACAAGGGGACACTTGGACGTGAGTGGTAAGGCGTCCCGGGGCCGTTTCAGTGGGTCCCAAAGACGGATAAACAGTGATACCGATATTAGAGGTAAGCTAGTCCCGACAGGGGGAAGAGCTGGAAGCTTGGCGCACGGTCCTTGCAGACGGGACTGATTGGATCCCGTGGTCCATTTTGGCGGGTTCCAGCAAAATTGACACGGGCAGCTTCTCTCCCCGGTTGCAGTACGTACCTGAGAACCACGTTCCCTCGAGACTCCCTCTCGTGCCTCACGTTCTCTCAACGATGTGTCTCTGACTGCCAGTATCAACTTTTGGGGATTGTCCTACAGTGATGGAAGTCCTGCGATAAAAGCCAACTTCCGACGGCTCAGCAGATGGAAAGCGACACACGAGAGGCAAGATGCGGCGCACAAGAAGCAGCACAAACAGGCCCCCGAGTTTTTCACCTGCAAGGCGATGAACGGGCTGAGAGGGGGGCGTGGGAGTGTTCCAGTGGTGGATACGACGAGTCCTCGATGCGGTCGAAACGGGGAGATCTCGTGGTTCCATCCCTGCAGGGCTCCCAAGGGCACTTGGTTCGGTTGAACGCCAACCCAGCCCGGCCATGCCAGTCAGAAGCCGTGGTCCGCCCTCTCCTACAGGTGCCACCGTCCCGTCCGGCCTCTCGGCAGGAAAAAGCCTTGTTGTTGTTGATTGTCTTCGGCATGGCCATGATCAAAGGCCATTTCACCGATTCTTTGGGGGAATGCTGCGACGGATGATAGGCATGACTTTCCCCAGCGCAAGCTGTGGCTAAGGTTGGTGAGAGCGCCACAGTGCCCAGGCGGCCAAGACTGACTCGAGAAAAGGGCCCCCTGGACGCCTTCGGACGGTGCCGCAAACCTCGGACGGGCTGCCCTAGGACCACCAAGAAAAAGTGCCAGATCGCTCGTTTGCTTGACTAGGCTGGCTTTTCCGGCTAGAAGAGAGACGCCGTTGCGTTCGCTGTGGCATCACTGAACGTCAGAGAGGGAAACAACTCTCAATCTAAAGTAATCGTCGCCACCCAGCTTTGCAACGAGTCGATCGCCTGCCATCGTTGCAACGAATGCCAGCTTCCCCGATACCCAGTCCGCAGCTAGCGGCTCAAGCCCGACAACCCTCTTCCCTCGTCATCTCAATACCTACCCCAGACGCTGCGGCGGCATTGTGCTGGGACATATGTCGCCATTGAAGCAGGAAATCCGAACACCCAGCAAATGGCAACGGGCAAGGAACAGCACAAGCGCCAGTACGGATACACTACGAATAGGTATCGTCTGAGTCTATGCCAGGGTGCTAGGGTGATCTCTGTGAGAGCGTGCTGCCATTCCCAGGGGTGTTTCCGAACAACAAAACGTCGGCCAACGTTGACGGGATGGGGTTTGACCACAAAACGAGGTCCCATTCGGCTTGGCCTGATGTGCCGGTGTGACTGGCCAGCAGTGAGTGGTCACAGACAGGCGGTGGCAGGGGGGCCTGAAGAAGTCCCCGGAGCTATTAAAGATCGAAGGCCATGCAGCCATCACATCCTTGTCCACACCCACCCATGGCGCCTCGCAACCAGCGGTTCCCGCCAGGGAAGGCCCCTTGATGGGCAATGCCACGTACACATAAGAGATGACCTTTCCGGGCAGACAGACGAGAGCTTGGTAGAGGGGAGAGGGCGCAGGATGGAAGGAGTACAAAGGCGATGAACGCTTGAATCGACGACGACAGTGGCATTTCGCCATCAAACATACGTCGTTGACACAACCAAGTGCGGCCACGATCCTCAAGACAAGAAAGGCTTGTTCCGGCTGTCTCGTCCGACTCCGACCACGAGAGTCCCCCCAGCTGCTGTCATGATTGGTATCCCCCACTCGGCACCGTACCTTGCCTTGCTCATTCAAGGTTTGGCGGTACGTACATGACGGGTAAGAATTGGAAACAGACGACAAACCGCTGCCCATCTGCGCGGGCTGCAGCCCCAAGAGGCGCGGCCCTCTCTCGGCATTAGCCTCCAGGGCGGTGGCCGCATGGGGCAAAAAGAGAGAAAGAAAGCCATGTACGTATCGATTTGTGCATACAAGCTAAACCGTGCCGCAATCGAGACAGACGACGGTTGGGCGGAGACGTCAGAACACACACAAGCACCAGTGGTCCAGTGCACCAGACAAGCATAGTCCGGCGCTGCTGGGAACTGGTCCCGTTACTCGTCTCGTCTTCCCTCGTTAGCCTGGCAAGCCTGTTTCTGCGGCGTGCTTCCGCGCGTGTCTGGCCCTGCTTTAGTTGTGCACCTTTTGGTCGTGGAACAATCCTGGGGGCCAGAAACAGCCACCAGGTTCACAGGACTGGGAATGTTTCTGGGCCTGGGGTGTGCACCTCCCGCCTGCGTGTCTCTTCTGATCTCCGACCGGTGAGGTGGAGATGGGTATCCGTAGCGGGATCAAGTCGAAAGGGGGGGGGGGAGAGGAGGGATGGGAGATGCCGGAGCCCGGAGGCAGGTCAGTGGTCACTGGCAGTGGTGATACAAAAACTGCGTTCGATTGGCGCAGATGCGCTAGAAGCGAACGTGCGGCGGCGCCCGCAATGGGCAGACATGACGGACGACAGAGTCAAGCAGTTTGAACGAGCAGATCAGCTGGGCTGAAGACATTGGAGGTTTTCGGTTTTACCCATTGCTCCACGAAACTGGGGAGCCGCCTTACGTAAGGTGGGTTTCGATGGTGGGTTCAAGATGTACAAAAACTCCAACCAATCCGTGCATCGCTCTCCCGTGTCTGAACCTTTAATGTATTTTTGACTCTACTGCGTACGGATTCTGCGTACAGATACGTACGAGGTACTCCGTACCTACCTTTGTCGAGGTCGGTACGTTGTACGGAGTACCTTGAAAGTTCAACGTCTCCAGCCCTCTGTCCGTCCACGGTCCAGCTGCCTGTATCCTTACGTCTGTCAGTCAGGAAGAGTCCAGCATCCACTGTGCCTTGCTTGTTCTGGACCCCTGAAACTATCGAGGTTTTTTCTTCTTCGTCTTTGCTTCTGGTGCGTCCACGATGAACGCTCGTCGATACGTACATCGGTGCGCAGGCATCTGCGTGCACCTTGGAAGGCATTCGCTTGCCCCGTGTTCAGTCAAACGACCAGAGATCGACACACTCTGGGCAAGAGATTGAGCGCAATCGCGCGCTTTGGATACCCAGTCGTGCCCGTGCTATTTTGGATGGGAGTGTGCCAGGCAGGAGGATCTATCCCCGATGCTCACATTGCACAACATCATGGAGAAAGCCTAGCGAGAAGCGAGCGACGCATTATGTACTCCCGTTACTCCGTACTCCGTAGTCGTACCTCTCGAGATCGAAAAATAAAGCACGCACAGCCGGCTGGGCCCCCAGGCAAGGCAAGGCACGAGGCATGGAAAGAGGGCAAAAAACCAAAAGGTAGAAGTAAATGTACTTTTGCGCATGCGTGAGTATGAGACGGTACTTGGGACAAAGCGCAAGGGGCGGCATTGTGACTTGGGGGTGTCAGGACCACCTTCAAAGTGCCCCAAAATGTGGCTCTCCCGGGAACCCTGTCTTGAGTAGCAGCCCCAAACACCAAACCCCCAGTTCGATGGACCACAACAACAAATTGATGGACGGGGGACCACGGGATTAGCAGAGAATTATCGTTTTCTCGAAGGCTGCCCGCCCCTTCTGCCTCCCCCTCCCCAGACATAATTCTCTCTGGGACCTCCCCTGATCTCACGGTTGAAGACGTGGTTCCCTTCGAGTCGTCGTTTCCATCTGCCCGACACTGCAGCAGTTCTTGCCTTCTTCCGTTCTTTTTCTAGTCGAGAGAGCCGCGCTTCGAAACATGGAAACACATACCTAGTGAATCACGGGGTAAGTCAAAGAAATTGCCTGCCGTCTCGTCATTGTCATGGTCGTTCGTCGTACCTAGCGGCTGGCCCAGATTTCCCAATGGGATCGCTGACTGGCTAGTGATTTCGAGGAACGGTCCAAGAGGTACGCTGAAGGTTAAGTACCTTGGATCATGCACTTTGGGGCCTTGGAGCCGGCTCCACACCCGCCCGACATGTGCGGTACGTACCTTTCGTGGGTAGGGACGCAGTAAGGTATGCTTGTTCCTCCAGCTTCCCCTCCCAGTTGATGGCAAGCCCAGACGTGTGGAAAGTCTCCCAAGATTTCGTGTGTATGTGTCTTGGTTGATGCTGGCTTTTGCGCTCGTTCGTTCATCAGTCTTTCCATTGCCTGGGACTTGCAAAGCCTCGACCAGGGTCCAGGGCCTCAAGCTGGTCCCTTTCCCTTCTTCCTTTCCCTCTCCCCTGGCCCCCCCCCCCCCGCGTCTGGCCAATTCCCTGCTGCTCCTGATCCGACTGCGACAGGCGTGTATGCGTATGTGTGCAAATGTGTGTGTGTGTGCGTGCGCCGCCTGCAACTGCATCGTCGTGCCGCTGCACCGATGGGGATGGAGGCACGCATCGGGTCGTTGGTGGTCGCGGTAGTGTTGAGGGCGCCGTACGGCACCTTGAGCAGAGAAAAGAAAGCTGCTGGTGATCGACGGGACGGCGGTAGGCAGGTAAGTTTATGGGGTGAGTGCATCAGCTAGTAAGATATGGTACGGATTGGTAGCGTATCCATACTGTACCGTGGTGTATGGTACGGATGGTAGTAGCGAAAAATGCCACTGCCAGTTCCATGCGCATTTCGGCTTCCACCCGTCAAATGATGCTGCGCAGGTGGCAGCTAAAGACGGGACAGTGAGTGCAAGCAATGCGAAGGCAACGCCGCGACGCAGAGAACGAAGAAAAGCGTATCGTGCTCATCCCGTCATGCTGCCCCAATCCCAAGTCCCAGATCATAGATGTACTCCGTACCTTGGTCGCAGTCGCAAAGTGCCAGGCCAGGCAAGCCCAGTCAAGTCTTTCTCTCTCTCTCTCTCTCTTTCTCTCTCTCTGCCTCTTGAATCTTGCCCAGGTGTCTCTCCTCTTCCTCGTCTTCGATCCATTCCATCCATCCTCCTCTTTGCTGCAGTGCTGGCCCCCCCGGTCAGTCATAGGCAGTCCCCTACCTTAGTCGCTAGTCCAGTCAGTGCCCGCCATTGAATCCAACTGGGCTGCTGGCGCTAGCGCCACGCCTCACGCCTGGTCTCGCCTAAACAAGGTACGTAGGCTACGTACCGCCAGATTCAGATTCGCCCATCCTTCCATTTCATCCACTCTTGCGGGCTTCCTCAATCTTCAATCTTTCCTCATCTTGAATCGACGACTGCAAAAAATCGCTTCCCCCTCGACCGACGACGCCAGCAAAACGCGCCCACGAAGGCTCTCATCGAGTCCCCCATCGAAATCCCTTAAAGATTCCCTTTTCAATCACGCCGCCCACAGCGGCGCCGAGCGGCATGGTCACCAAGGAGTACCTCGACTCGGACAGAGTCAACTTTCTCGTCTGGAGGTGAGTTCACCCTTTTTGCGTCTCACCCACTCCCGCCCGCCGCACCTCCACGCACAATCGCGCCTCACTCATCTCACGCCCTCTGCCTTTGCCTTCTCATGAAGTGCCTCTTGACGGCCGGCCTCGCACCCTCATGCTATCGCTGACATGCTGACTTTGACTCTCCTCTCAGGTATCTCTTGGAAGGCAGTATGTGACAACCAACCGTCTGGGTACAGCCAGCGACAGCTGGTGGTGGGCCACGGGCTTTTTTTTTTCTGACGATTGCAGACTACCGAGAAACCGCAGCCAAATTCCAGAAAGAATGGCACATTCAGCAACCTCATCGCCATTTTGATTTCGCAAATCACGTCAAGAGCCACGCTTTGGTGTCCGTCATCAACAAAGGTCTCTGCTACCATGCCCTCGAGAGAGAGCATGCGAAGAAATTGGTAAGGCATTGTGCTCCACTCGGCTGTTCTTCCCCCTTCCTTTCGGCGTCATGAGCAACCGGTGCACCCCGAGTCGGCGGCGAGACGGATGGGTGGGTGTGCGGAAAATGTGCGAACTCTGGCAAACTAACGTTTCCTCTGCGCGTGCAGGTGCCTTCAGATACTGCGGCTGCGGCCGAAGCACTGCAGGTGGGGTTGTTTGGGCCATTGATCGCTCAACCGCCTCAAAAGATTGAGGAGGATGAGGACGCAGATGGCGAGGTGGACGACACAGAAATGGAGGTCGAAAACACTCGGAAACGCCAATTTGACAGCCGGCCACAACAGCAGCACATGGTGAATGGCGGCTCACCCAGCAAGCGGCCCAGGCTTAGCAATGGGTATGAGAGCACGAACGGGGCGGATGCAGCCACGGACCCCATGGAGCTAGACAGCCACGGCGACAACAACCACGCCTATCCGTCGCCTCTCGAAGGCGAGCAAGCTCCGACGCCCACGCCGAGAACAGATGGCCCCGAGCAGGGCACGCAAGTCGACAAAGTTGAGGAATTGGCCACGGAGACGACATTTCTGCGATTAATGCCCGATGACAGCAACTCCAACGCCGGTGCCACCAACAACGCTCGCGACGGCGGCGCCCCGACGACTTTGACTACCACTGCTGCAAGCGCAGGCGGCCCTGGAGCTTCGCCCTCGCCAGCCAACGGTGAAAACGCACCCATCCTGTTGCGCTGCGAGTGGAACCCAAAGGACCCATCAATCTTGGCGGCTGCTGGAACCGATGCGCTAGCCCGAATTTGGACCATCTCACGTTCAAGCACAATGACGCCTACTCCAGCTCCCGAACCCAACGGTCACGTGCATGGAGTACATCGCCCGTTTCATAGTCTCATCGACGACGAGACCCCCAAGACAGCCACAGTAGGCCAACTTGCTTGGAATAGTGGGGGAACAGCCATTGCCATCGCCATCGAACACGGCGACAGGGCATCGGTCCATATCTGGGCAAAGGACGGTTCTCATGTCGACAAGTTCGACGTCTCGGACCCTCCCGTGATCAAGCTCCGTTGGAGCCCGAGCGATGCAGCCCTTCTCGCCATTGCGCCCGACAACAGCAACGCAAACGGACCCGGCGGCGCTCTGGTCACGGTCTATCACTCCCTGACGTCCAACACATTGTCCTATTTCCTGCCAAATCACGACTTGCTCAGCTGGCCACTGGATGCTGCGTGGACCAGCGAAACAGAGTTCCTCCTCACTGGCGGAGATGTCATGCTGTCGCTAAAGTGCACGGAGACGGCCATTGTGCCGAACAAGAGGTTGGAGAGCCGGGAGGACGACACATTTACTCAGGTTGTCTATGACCGTCGATCAAAACTTTCCGCTACGGCGAGCGACAAGGGCATCCTGGATGTAAGTGTCCCGAAACGCCTGTGCCATGAAAGTTCAGCTGACTCAACCTTTTAGCTTTGGGATGAAGATGGTCACCGCTGGTCAATAACGGCCCACTCTGGGGCGATCACGGCGGTACAGTGGCAGCCTCTCCCGGACGATGCCAACGTGCCGGAAGACGAGCGACTGATCGCATCTGGAGGCGACGATTGCGCCATTATTATTTCCAACGCCAAGGACCCTGAGCCTGGAAAACCAAGGTCCATTCTGACCATGGAATCGCCTATTGTATCGATTGCATTCACACCAGATGGCGCCTTCATCGCCGGAGCCACAGCCGGTCGCATTCTGATCTGGAAGGTTGGTGAGCAGCACACGATGCCAAGGGCGAGTTGGAGCAGATCGCCGCATCCCGGATGGCTCAGTCCCAAGGCGAGCTCGGAGCCAGAGGATGAGGATGAGCACTGTCTGTGCTGGGATGCCGACGGGCAACGCCTCGCCTATGGAGCTAACAGCAGAGTAAGTTATATCTCAAGACCTCACGGTGCGACCTGATTCTAATTCTGCGCAGCTGGCTGTTATCAACTTCCGTCGATAGACAAAGTACGAGATTCCGTGCCCTTTGGCACACGTTTAAAGTCGTTCAAACCATTCCAACGGAGTGATAGACGCTATAGAGACTCGGTACTCCAACATCAAACGGCCGAGACCTTCCGAGGAAGGGGAAATCATGTCCACCCTTCGAGAGTCTTAACCAGACGATTCTGTGTCGTACATTTACCACTTTCGATTTTTTGCAGTTATCCGGCGTCACGGCGGTGTTGTTTATTGATGATTTCAGGCAGGTCCCCAACAAACGCGGTTGGGACGGGGAATCGGCTGCCTTCTTGCATACGCATACCTCCATCTCACATTACAACTGAAGTTTCTGGAAAGGACGACTGGCGTCTGCGTTGGTTTAGATGTCACCGTGGTAGATGATTCGGTCTCTTTACCTCCTCTGGTTGACTGATTGTTCTCTCAACGTACTCGTGTCCTGCCAGCGGAGGAAGGGTACTATGACATTTGAGGGTCAGCACGTTGTACACTATGCCTGTATATACCAAACGATATGGAAAAAGGAAACTATGACTCTTGACTTCAAGCTATTTGATTTGTGTTTTGTGAAGAACTCGGTGGAATACCTTTGCGGTTTCAGAAGTATCGCGAGGTTTTGAAGAGTGACAGCCTTTGGTGAGACGCAGCTCTCTATCGACATTCTCAACCACCTTCATTGCAGCTTTTATCACGCGAAACGTAGTGTATGCGAATTGGGTCCAAAAATTGCCAGTCAGGGTGAGATAGTGCTACCTCAATCACCGGCGGCTTGATTAGACGTGACACAAAATGGCAACCAGCCTCCGCATCGGATCCGGACGGACGACGGAGAGGGGGAGGGGGAGGGGGCAGTGGAAGGGGAAGGGGAAGGGAAGCCCCCAGCCACACTTTTGCCAGCGCCTCTCTTTTGTGCCCCGCACGTCTGAGTCCAACGACGACGACGTCCCCTCTATTTTTCATCCGTGCGCCGCGTTCCGTTTCCCCTCTGATTGCAAAAAGTGTATCAATTCCATTGTTTCCCACCTCGACGACGATCGAAGAACGCATTGTTTCTTTTTTTTTTTTTTTTTTTGGGCCTTGCCTTTTCCGTGGTGGACTCGACGATCGCGCCTCACCGAGGGGTGGCTTTGTCTCACTGAGGTCCGCTTGTACTTCATCCCGCGATATCTCGACGTTGCTCGACGAGACGGCTTCTATCTTGTTGATGACCGGGGGTAAAAGAGCGTGTTTAGTGAGGTGAACTGCACCAGGCAGGAACCGACCTCACACCAAACGTGCCTAATCGACCGACCTTGAGGGTCCGAAGAGCTCTCACCACCACTTTACACCCTTCTCATCTCTCACTCACCCACAAAACCACCAACCCATTCCCCTTACAACATACACACATCACACACGAGGAAAAAATGTCAGCACCATACTACACCCCCCAACGCCCCTACTTCCCCCCTCAAACCACCCCTCCGCGTCCTCCTCCGCCTCCACAACGCGCGCGGGCGGCGCATCGGGAGCGTCGGGAGCAACAGGAGCCCCCTCCTTCACACCCGCCATGCGCGACCGCCAAGCGCGCGGGAAAGACCCCTACTCGCCGCACGACAGCCCCTCGGACTCGGATCTCGAGTTTGAAGGCGGGGCCGGGGGTTCGCCTTCGAGAGGCGGCGGCGGGGTGGGTAGGTTGGGTCATCTCGGTCCCGGGCCCGGACATCACGGCGGCGGCGGTGGTGGTGGGATGGTAGCCGGAGGAGGAGGGGGTGGTGTCGGTGATGGTGATTCGCATGAGGTTAGGAGAAGGAAGCTTTGGGCTGTTGCTGTGCTTGAGGATCCGGAGAAGTTGGCCATGTATGCGTGTAGTCGCGGAGACGTAAGTCGCATCCCCCCTTTCCGTCCCTTCTCCTCCCCCTCTCCCCCTCTTTCGTTCTCTTCTCCTTCTTTTGAACCGTCTACAGTTCTCTTCATTCCTTCTTCATACCATGCATATCGCGTGCCAGACTGACATCCTCCGCAGAGTATCCCCGGCACCCGCCTCCACTTTACCCGCATGCTCTGCGGTTTCGACGAGGAGCCGATGCACCCGCAGCAGTCGGACCACCGCAAGGCGTCGGCGTCGTCGTCTTCGGCGCGGCGGGATCCGAGGCGGCGGAGCGCTGGAGGGGACCGGATGGGTCGTCATTGAATCGGGCCGCCGCATGGCACTTCCCTTTTACCCTGTGACAGCCTCTCACTTTATGACTCTTTTGACGCCGGTTACGGGATTATGGAGTTTGGACTGTTGATTTTCTGAAATTCTGGGGGATGGAAGGTCTTCTTGGGAGAAATTGGTTTCTGTACAGCAGCCCTGCTCTGTCTTGAGGATCGAACTCGTGGACGATCCTGCCGCGACAAGGTAGAAAACGTCCCTCGGCCGTGGTGAACGAGGTTGCTTCAAGTCGAGGCACGTGGAATGAAGGGAAATCAGTAACGGCGTAATGGAGTCACGGAGTCTTCAGCATGTCCTACATTCCCAAATATATCCTCTCTCTAGTCAGATAAACAAACTTGCATGAATTCACGACGACGAAGCACCTGTCAGGAATATTGCGATGTGAAAAAGGGATTGTATGTCGGTCTCCCGCTGGTATCCGCACCGGATCAGCCAGCTGACCTTAAAGAAGCTATGTAATTCTCTCTCCCTCATGCCGTTCTCTAGGTAAGGCAAGGTCAGGTGTTTCCCCTGCGAGTAGGTATAAACCCCAAACCTCTGGTCATCATAATTACACGAAATGGCAATCATCTTTAGAAGAACAGGTTTGCCGTGGTTCCAATGTGCAATCGTCGAAGCCCCCTCAGATGGAATTTTGAACCCCAAAATCCAAAAAGGGGGGTAAATAAGAATAGTAAAAGAAAATAGGAAAAAGCACCGCCAACGCCGAGTAATGCAATGGTCTAGAGTAATATCCAACTTTGTCACCGTCCTGTATCTTTCCCTCCTTGAGCTGTCCCAGGTCACACTGCATCTTTAGGCGTACCTGGCGCTCTGAGTCCTGTTCATCTCCCACCCCCCATTCTGGTAGGGGTCACCGCCATGATAAGGCGGAGGCGCGCCGGGCCGCGTAGCAGCCGGCGGCGGCGGAGGGATGTTGGGATTACTCCACGCACCCCCGTAGCCGTTCCACCCGCCATTGTGCGCCATCGCCGGCACGGGCACGGGTTTGAGGCGCTTAGCCCTCTGCCGGCTCCTGCTCCGCCGGCACGCGCCGCAGATGCAGCTAAACAACACAATGAGGATCAGGAGGCCGACGACGATGACGACGGGGATAAAGATGCCCTTGTTGTTCTGGATCCAGTCCATGATCTCGGTGCCGGCGTTGGCGCCCTGGCAGACGCCGTTGGAGCATTTGCCGCCGCCCGTGCACGACGTGCCGTCGAGGAAGTTTTGGTTCATCGTCACGCAGGCGCCGTTGCCGATGCTGGGGACGTTGCAGGAGATCATGCAGTCTGAGCTGCCACTATTGCACGACGTCACCGAGCTGGAGTTGGTTCGCGATCCCCAGGCGGTCTTGCACTGCTGGTCGCGAGAGGTGCACTGTCCAGAGGCGCAGGTGAGACCCTCGCCAGAGTTACCGCAGGAATCACCATCAGCCTTGTGCTCATCGCTGGGGCACGTTGATGATGAGCCACTGCAGGTCTCCTGGGGGTCGCAGGAACCGGTACTCGTTCGGCAAACGGTACCGTTGGAAGCAAACTGGCACTGGCCGTTGCAACAGTCCTCGTTGGCGGGGTCGCAGACTGATCCGGTGGTGAACTTGCACGTCGTGGGGTTACAGCACCTGTTGCTGCCGCACCCAGAGGTTCCACCGCAGTCGCAATCCTCGCCAGACTCAACAATGCCGTTACCACATTGGCTTCCGGTGATGGTGTTGACATTTCGGTTATTCGTCAAGCAAGACGACTTGACCTGGTTACGGAGAAGACCGGAGCAAATATTACCGATACTGCAAGAAGAGAATGCTCTGATACCGGTGCCGGTCGACGGGTTCATAATGTAGGAACCACCCGCATTACAGGTGCTTGAGCTCAGGGGGCAGCACCGCTGCATGTCGGAATCGCCATTGCTGCAAGTGTCGGAAGTGCAGTCGTGTACGGCACCAAAGGTGTGGCCGACCTCGTGAGCGATAACCTGCCACTCACTAGGCGTCTGGATCACTACGTTGGCCGATGCCACCGTCTCGTTGTTGCTGCCGCTGCCTGATGTCTGGGCTCCATCGGTGCAGGCCTGTCCCAACCATGCCAGACCAACTGCAGAATCGGTGCCGCAGGTACTCAGGAGCGTCCAGAAGGCGTTGTCATCGTTGGACTTACCACGCCACGCCGAGAAGAGGTTCAGACGATCGGTAATGGTGACGCTGTTGCTGCAGGCGACGTTCCACGGGGCGGTCGAGCTAGCCTGTCCAGGGCAATTGGCATCGCTGATTGTGAGGTTCTGAATACCGAGTGAGATATTGAAGGTGCTCTCATACACCTCGGAAGCGGCGTTGATCACATCGATGATATTCTGTCTGACAGCCTGCGTTGAGTTGAAGGCGGCGGTGTAAGTGCAGTCCGTAGCGACACCGAGGAGGGCGATCTTGCGCGTCGTCGGGCATCCGTTGGTTTGTCCGATGGTGGAGACGAGGTTGACACCTGCGCCGTTGTTACCGGTGCTGCCGTCAATCTGCCTGCCGAAGATGTTGCGTCCGAAGAGAGAGTTTGATGGCACGGACTGCAGGGGTTCGGTATCCCGCGCGTCAAAGATCTTGTAGTCGGTGTTGAAGTCCAAGCTGTCCGAGTTGCATGAAGACCGGCCGAAAATTTCCCGCTTCTTCTTTAGATCCTCACGGTCGGTCCAGTATTCGATAATATCCGAGTCCCTCCAGACCACCATGTACTCGTCGGGGTTCCGACCCTTGCCCGGAGCGTCGGGGTCCTCGCGGTGCTTGCGCGCATGGTAGTTGGTTCCGGTCTGGATTCGGTGGTGGTCGTCGTCGATGCGGAAAGCGCCCTCGAAAATGGGTTCCGCGCCGTCTCGGTGTACCGTGATTCGAGCCCATCCAGCGTGCCTCCAGTCGTTGGGGCTTCCCTCGTGGCGTACGAATGCCTTTCCCCTGAATACCCGGTGCTCCAACCTGTCGACAGTTTCTGTGGTGTGGATCTTGCCGTCGTGGCCCATGTAATTCACTTGGAGATTGTTGTGGAGAATGTCATCGTTCGGTTCTAGCGCAAGGCGTATTTCCTGTCGCTTGTCGTGCAGAGAGAATGTGAGATCGAAGTGCGAAAGGGCGTGGCAGTGTTGTGAAGGGGAGTGGAAGACGGCATCTTCGAGGATGGTGACATAACTCAGCGGGTTGCGCTGGGTCGAGTGTGCTGTTCGGCGTCGTCAGTATGCCTCGCAATACGCCATCGCCTTTCTAATACATACCATAAACACTCTGGGGAAGAGCCGCGAGGCCGGCAAAGGCGGCAGCTATGGTCCTGAAGGAAACCATGGTTTGTGGTGGTGTCCCCGCAAACGGGGTGAGGCTCAGAGAGGCCTCTCAGTTATGGTGTTGCGTAAGCCTCTCGAATAGGGGAGATTGAGAGAGAAAGGGTCGGTTTGCGATCGTCTTAAAGCCAATGCTGTGCCCGCGTCGCACCGCGTGGTTCCGAGTGGTTTCCAAAAAAGAGCAAACACACACACACGAAGACGATGGGATGACGAACGAAAAAAGGTAACCAGACAGACAGCAAAGTAATAAAACAAGAATGAACGAATGGAGAGTGGTGGACGGGGAAAAGAAGGTGGAAAGTCCGGGTGCTGGCGGCCGTTCGACGGGTGACGGAAGAGGAGAGAGCGCCAGTGCTCAGGAACCTGCGGATATGGGATTCCTCGGGGGGCGTGTGGCACACTGCAGAGTGAGAGTGAGTCCACTACAAAGTGCCAAAGAGTGTGCGAGTGTGAGATGAACGGTGGATTGCGCAACACGATCTCTTGGTACGGGGGCGTGGACCAACTGTATTGGAGCTCGGGAGGTGCTGTGGATTCCACAGGCGGGCTGGGCGACGTCTTGGTAACTCTTGGCCTAGTGCTACTCGGCGACGCGGCAGTGGCAACGCCAATGTACAAGTATCCTCGTGGGGGCTGGGACAATGCAAGCTGTACAAAGTACCCGTAGCGTCCGTAGCGTCCCTGGCAACCAACCCGGTTTTCGTGTCTGTATGTACGGAGTACAGTGATGTCTCTCTCGGTTTGTCGTGTTGAGTACGATGCAAGAGAGAGAATTAGCAAACGACAGTCCCAAAAGGGGTGGTTGGGTCGGGTGCGTGAGAATCAAGGTTGCGGGATGGGTTCTATTGTGGCTCTGCACACTCTTTTCTCTCCTCTCTACGCAGTAAGCTCCCAGGACCGGGGCGGTAGAAGGATGTCAGGATGGAGAATGGTTCGGATTTTGTGTCCCTGTTTCACTGTTAGTTGCTGACAACCTTTTGGCAACGGAAGCCGCAAATGCCAAATAATTCTGTGACCCGGTAGATCCCCCCCCCCCCCATCGACCCCGAGCCCATGGACGCCAACACGGGCGCTACGCTGGACGCTGCGCTTGCTCGCTCGCTCGCTCGCTCTCGTGATCCATCCCAGGCACTTGGGCTAGCTTGTCACTGGCACCAATACCCCAACTAGGAATTCAACGAGAGCAAACTGGGCCACGAAAGAAATAAGCAGAAAGGCCGAAGAACCCGCCGTCCGTAGCCTGATTCCGGGCCAGCCAAAAAAAACTCCACTGATGCAGAAGCCGGCATCGGGGCTCTGTTTACTTCGTAATGTTTGCGCTATAGTTCATCTCATGGCGCTGACCGACATATGCACGCAATGATTCAGGCTCATGCAAGAATAGGAAGATGGAGAGACAGAGATGGAAGAAAAAAACTTTCAACATACCTCTTTGATGCGGGTGCGTGCGTTGCGTTGCGTTGCGTTCGTAGGCTGTTGCGAGAGGGGAATCCCGGCATCAAAAGCCAAGATGCTCCTTTCCCGGGGATCTGACACTGTCCTCGTCTGAGCTGAGGCACGAGGAGACCTACGAGGGCCGTTGGAGTCCAAGTCCCGCGAATACCTGTTCCAGCTCCCGTGAATGCAGAGGGAGCGGGGGCCTAGCAAGGCAATGGAGCCGATGAATGGAGGGGGGAAGGACGTGATGGGATGAGATGGCAGCCCTGGGAAAGATGTATCGGGCTGAGCAAGTAGCAGTGTGTCAGCGGTTTCTCTGAGGATTCTCCTGCACATACACAATGAGTGGTGGTGTGTTGGGGTTTCCCTTGACGGAGGGGGATCCCTACTGTACACAGAACTGTGTAATCGTGGGCTATTCTTAGCTGTGCTGTTATAGACAAAATACGTACCTTTTTGGGATGGTCTTTCTCTTTCTCCAAACCCTTGGCTCCAAGTTGCGACCTTTTTCCCGTTGTGTGTTTCAGAGCCCAATGGAATGGCACGCTGGGCCAGGTAGTCTGCAAAATAGGGCGCTTTCTCGGCCAATGGCAACTGCCTCACCCTTGGGAAAGGGTTTCGTCGAGAAATGATGCTGGCAATAGCAAATCCAACTTGAGGGGGGTTCTTCAAGGCTTTTTCTAGTTCGACGTTTGGCGGGGACTTTGAGAGAAATGTCGAGATCTCTATTGTGTGTAGCCTCAAGGACAAAAGGTACAATCCGGTTTGATCCATTCAGTAGTGCACGCATCCACGATGATTTAAGTATTTTTCTTCTATTCTTCCCGAAATCTTGGAATGTTCTCCGATTCTTTGACGGAATGGAATCTGTGGATCATTCGATTGCGCCGAGATACCACTATCATGCTCATCACTTTTTCTTGGCTTCCTTCTCTGCCACTCTTTGCCCACGGTAAACACTTTCCCATCTGTCAGGATGGACCATTCCCTTCAACCTCCCCGCCCGCGCGCGTCGGATGAGACGGTCTTGGTGCCTGTGGTTGTGTCCTACTTGCTTGTTGTTCTGCTGCTACTACCAGTCCGGTTTTCCCATTCACCACCGAAAAAACGAGTAAGCTTATTGAAGCTTACGTCTCCCTCCCCCCTCTCTGTACACTGGGTCCCTGACTTTCGGGAGGCTGAGCAGGGCTTGGCTTAGAGTTCTCTGACGGAGCCAACTCTGTCTCTGGGCCCGGGGACTGCGTGGTTCGGGACCGCTAAGCCTGATTGGTCCTTCTTTTCTTGATGTCACTCATCTTTCACTTGGAGGTTTCATTTTGCTGCTTCTTCCTCACGAAGTATCAGCAAGAGAACGCTTCTACTACAACTAGGCACGCACCCGAGACAGCTTGGTTCGGTACGAATTGCCAGGCCGCTCCAACCTCCAGGGTCTCAAGCGACGTGGTATTCGTAGTTACACAACCAGAAGAAACCCCAGAGTTTGATTAAACCTCCCGCGTACAGGACATGGGAATGGATGACAGAGTCCAGAAACTCAATACTCCCCTCCCCACTATCGGCCGAACCAATCATCCATCCTCATCTTACACCTTGGCTTTTCACCAGGAAAAACATCAGATGGCCTTTCTAAGGTAGAGCAGCCATCAACACCGCCTTTCCTGTCTACACAGCCCGCGCTGGTCAGTCAGTCAGGCAAAGGGTCGGATTTAAGACCCTGATCCTCCGCCGATGCCGTGCAGTACCGCCTCATTCACGCAGCGTGAAAAAAAAAAAAACAAGCACACACCCAACTACACTAGCACAACTTACATCTCGGCGCCCCCCTCATGAGGATTGCGCGTCAGACCCCATCCTGTGGTGGCTTTGCTCTCTGCATGCACGAGAAAAAAGCCAAACGAAACAAAACAAGTTCTCCTCTCGACCAACCATTTCGTTTGTGAACCCTTCTGTTTGCTGAATAATAGGGAAAATCGGTGGAGAGGATAGTGACATTCCATAGTGGAAGTATTCCGTACTAGATCTCTCACCTTACTGCCTACCTTATCCAAGGAGGCCTCCTCCATCTTATGTTCCCTGTCTTCCGAGAGAACCCAACCCTTTTTCCCCACACGCATCAGGGTATCAAATTGCCTCCGAGCAGTTCACGGCACCTGAGGCTGCCGCATCTTTGAACGCCAAGTCCAAGGAGGGGGACATCTCGCCTACCAGGACTCAGGAGGCTAGCCTTGGTTCTTGGCCCGAACAGGTCGATCGTGGTTGTTGGGTTTCCGTCTCCGTCTGATCGTCATCTGATGCTTTCTTGGACAGTAGAAACCAGGACGATGGGAAAGTGACGGACGCTGCCTTCATCCGGAGTGCTCCATCATGATCCATGATCACCACAACATGGATCATAACTGTAGGTACGCTAACATGTAGGAAAGAGTTGATATCTCCGCCAGGGTATGTCGTGATTCTATGATCACGACTACTTACATAGCTATTCACGTGATCGTTGTTCAGGTGACTTCCTTCGTCCAGACAGACCGTGGTCTGGTGATAACTTGCCAGTGATCTATGTATCGTGCAAAGCCCATGATCAAGAGGATGTATAAGATACTCCCATACTTTCACTCGTCACAGAAACTGCTGTCGTATCTAGTGGGATCAGAAATCCAGCCCATAAACTCTGTAGCAAACATCACCATCGCCTCAGACACTGCTCAACGTCACACCAGGTATTCCGTTCGGTGTAAGCGTACACTTGACACTGCCTTCTTCTTACATTATCCCCACAGCCACGTGTCTAGCCAAACTAGCACCTAGTGGCAGAACACTAATCGAAAAGACAAATTTTGCCGTATGGCGGAGTCCGTACCCTTCTCTACACAGTACATCCTCGGATATAAGAGACACCTTTGATGACATGCCAAGTCCAACCATAACCGCGTAGACCCTCAGCCAAGAGGCTACGGAATGAGAAAGGATGGACACAGCAAGGCGCTGTTCGGTCCTTGAGAACAGTGATGACGACGACATCGACTTTAGCCTCCAGAACCTCTCCCAAGCCATCCGAACATGTACCCACCAACTTCTGTCTACACACACCCTTCGTGAATGGGAGAAACGAACTGGCGATGCACGAGGTTGAGACTATGCCTCCAAGGCACGTTCCGGGGAAGCGCCGGTAGCTGTCCCACCAGACAGAGGCCGAGTCTTTCCTCTCCCCGTACTCCTGCCTCCTTGTTCGTCAAAGGTAACCAGAAGGCAGACAAGATTTTCTGTCTGCAAATCTATCTCGGCCCGGTCTGCACAGAACGGCAGACGCAGAAGCACACTTCACTTCCCAACCCCATCACACAAGAACCTAACATACAGATAACTGCACAGTAAAACCCGCAAACGGCATCATTCCGTCCTGCGAGGCCGCGAGGCCCGCGAATGGTGCCGTTCTAGCGTCACGCATCTCCCGCTGCACCGTGCTCGACCGAAAAGACCCAGCAGCGAACGACCCCAAATGCCTGCACTAGCGGCGCCGTAACTGACCGGGCTTTTCCCTCCGGGGCGGGCGGAGCGCCGAGTCTAGAGAGGGGCATCCGAGTGTCAGCAAGCTGCAGATATACGGACGGACCTTCTCTCTTTTCTTTTCTTCCAGATTCTCTGTCATCGCAGACAAACGAATACTCCATCATCGATCGGACCGCGGTATCGACTTACCTAATGTTTCGGCCTTCGAAATAGCAGCTGAGCCTCGGTGGCGAAGGGAAGATGTCGTCAACTACGAGTATCGGTAGACACAGCCTTCCTGGACTTTGATAACACCCTTCACGCCGACTCGCTGATAGGTGGGAACCATGTCCCGGGTTCCTGGATGAGTTTAACCACTCGTCATCAAGATATCAAGCCAAGTCCGATATCAAGCCGGGCCGGCGAGACATGTGGCATCTCACGCGATAGATAGGCAATGTATGTTTCCATGTTTTTTTCTTTGGCATTTGGACTCGAAATATTCAAAATACGGTTCGCTATATGGCAAAAAAAAAAAAAAAACAAGAAGCAAATAACCCTAGAAAAGCCTTTTCATGGGGGTTTTCAGGCGGGACGGTACATCCAACCGATTGGTTCGTACCTCTTATCCATCCTCCTCTGTTCATGTGGTATCACTCACGTCTCTCCTGTCTCTCCCTCACTCTCCCAACATCGTCGTCATGCATTTACTTCTTCCTCTTCTCCTCGTGGACAATGCTGATAATCTTTTCAACAATGGAAGGATCCGAAAGCTATTTCTTGCGTTAGCATACATATTCTTCCTCAAACAAACGCAACGGTTGGAACTTACAGTCGTAACATCACCAAGCTGATCCTCCTCACCAGCCAAGATCTTGCGGAGAATTCTACGCATAATCTTGCCGGAGCGAGTCTTGGGCAGATCAGGCACGATGTGAACGGCCTTTGGCGCGGCAAACGGTCCGATACTCTTGCGCACCTGCATAATAAACTCCTTGCGCAGCGCGTCCGAGGCTTCATTGCCGTCCTTGAGAGCGACGAACGCATTGACGGCCTGGCCGGTGAGCTCGTCCGCGACGCCGACGACGGCGGCCTCGGCGATGGAGTGGTGCTCGATGAGCGCGGCCTCGATCTCGGCAGTCGACAGGCGGTGGCCCGAGACGTTGACGACGTCGTCGACGCGGCCGCGGATCCAGTAGAAGCCCTCGTGGTCACGACCGGCACCGTCACCGGTGAACTATTGTCATTGTAAGTCCTTGTACAAAATTGTCAGTTAGGAGGCGAGTCTCACATAGTAGCCTGGGTAAACGTTCAGGTACGTGTCCATGTAGCGCTTGTGGGCGCCCCAGACGGTGCGGGCCATACTGGGCCATGCTTGCTTGAAGGCCAGCACACCCTCGACATCGTTGCCGTGAATCTCCTCGCCGGAAACGGGGTCGATGATGGAGGGCTCGATGCCGAAGAAGGGCAACGAAGCACTACCGGGCTTGGTGGGCGTGACACCGGCCAGGGGAGTGATGACGTTGGAACCGGTCTCGGTCTGCCAGTATGTCTGCAATCCTGTTAGTCCCGTTATATCCTCGAGTCAATGCCAGCTTCACTTACGTCTACAATGTGGGCCTCCTCCTTGCCGACAACCTCAAAGTACCACTTCCAGACCTCGGCGGCGATGGGCTCACCGACGGAGCCGAGCACTCTGAGGTGCTTCATGTCGCCCTTGACATGCTGGTCACCGGCCCGCTTCAGTAACCGCAGAGCGGTAGGGGCGACGTAGAACTGGGTGACTTGGTGGTTCGCGATGATGTCCCAATATCTCGAGAAGTTGGGGTAGGCGGGCGTGCCCTCGAACACGACGGTGCTCACACCGAGCAGCAGAGGGGCGTATACGACGTAGGTGTGTCCGGTAATCCAACCGACATCACCACCGCAGAAGTAGCGGTCGCCATCATGGATATCAAAGACGTACTTGCCGGTGGCAGCGGCACCGACCAGGTAGCCACCAGTGGTGTGCATAACGCCCTTGGGCTTACCGGTGGAACCGGAGGTGTAGAGGAGGAAAAGGGGGTCCTCGGAGTTGACCCGCTCAGGGGGAAAGTAGGAAGGCCACTTCTCGACCTCTTCGTGCCACCACCAGTCACGGCCCTTTGTCATGGGCACATCGGCGCCGGTGCGCTTGTAGACGAGGACGTGGGACACATCGGGGCACTGCTTCAAGGCGTCGTCGACAATTTTTTTGGTGCCGATCAATTTGCCGCCACGCTTACCCTCGTCAGTGGTGATGACGACCTTTGAGTTGCCGTCAATGACACGGTCGCGGAGGGAATCGGCGGAGAAACCGGCGAAGACGACGGAGTGGACAGCGCCGATACGGACGCAAGCGAGGAGGGCAATGATGGCTTCGGGAATCATGGGCAGGTAGATGGCAACGGTGTCTCCCTTGCGCACGCCCATCTGTTTCAGGACCCAGGCGGTGCGTGAGACCTCGCGGAGCAGCTCGCCGTAGGTGACATTGCGGCCTTCGCCAGGCTCATCGGCCTCGTAGATGATGGCAACACGGTTGGGATCCTTGAAGGCGTGACGGTCGACGCAGTTGTAGCAGGCGTTGAGCTGGCCCTCAACAAACCAAGCGCTATCACCGCCGGCCAGAGAACCGGAGTAGACGGTCTGGAAATCGCTGAACCAAGACAGGAGCTCGCGGGCTTTGGTGCCCCAGAAGGCCTTTGGGTCGGTGATGGATTCCTTGTACAACTTTTGGTAGTCCTCGAGACCTGCAGCAGTGGAGAGGAAGGGGGAGCTCCGGTCAGCCAATGAAGAGAGGAGGAATTGGGGTAAAGAGGAGGAAGATGGCTTACTGCTCAAGTGGGGCTTGCTGGGGTGCTCTGCGGGAAGGAGACAGAATTGTTAGCCCAAAATGTCCAATCAGTAGCTCCGAATTGCGCTGCCCCTCCTTCTTTCTCCCATGGAAGGTACAAGGTACTTCACGAGTGTCCATAGGGTTGACCACAGTAACCACAACCCCCTGCAGCCACCTTGGGCAATCTCCAGTGCCCCTCACGCGACTTTCGGACGGCAACAGGCCATGGAACTGGGTCTGACTCTTGGGTGTCTGGGTCTGGAATCTGGCTTCTGCAAATCGGCGGCGCACTTACTGTCAAGCATCTTTTGGGGGGGATCTGTTGGGATTCAAAATTAGCCATGGCGGTTCTCCCAACAAGCGATGCAGCAATGTTGTTCATTTGGTCGAAACGAGAGCAGTCAAGTTTGCGTTGCGCTCGCCCTGTGAACCGTGTAAATGCGGTTGAAAGGACGAGGACGTGGACGCGGACGCGGACGCAGACGCTCGGTGCTGTTTGGCGCGAGGAACCAAAAGCAGACCAGAAATGGAGCTAGGAAATTGGGGTTCTGTTCGGGCTTACGGAAGGTATCAACGAGGTGGGCCTCGGCGACCACGGGGGCCTTTTGTGGCTCTGCGGCATCGGTCATTGTGGCGGCGGGGTGGTTTATGTGCGTGCTGCGTGCGTGCGAGTGTATTGTGTGCGTTTATGAAGCGATGCGGGGTACTTTGTGCAGGCTTGTAGAGGTTCTGTCGAGCTTCGAGAGATCCGCTGGCGCTGCGAAGCTGTGAGAATCGTGCGACAATCGTCTGTCTCTGCCTTCCTCGTCGTAAGAGAAGCGGTCCTGCTCGTGCGGTTATGATGATAGGTCGCGCGCAAGCTGGGGTCGCAACTGGCGCAACTCTCCACAAGTCGAGAGTCGAGTCGCGTGGTTCCTAGGTAGGTGTTGCTGCAAAGCGGATAGTGGCAGCAGAGAAACAAGTCGACGTCCCAATGGGTTGTTCCCTTGAATCCTGTCCTCGTTTTGTTTGCTTTATGCGTACGTAGCTAGGAGAGGAGATGTCCTAGAAATGTAGGAGTAATCGGAGTTGGGTTGTGGAAGTGAAGAGAAGAGGAGTAGAAGTAGGAGGAATTGGGAAAGACGAAGAGGATGTGAGTCGTAATTAATAAGATCAGCTCTCCAGGTGGCCGAGCCGCGAATTGGACGGGGGATGGGATTGCTTTTAATGGACGAATGGGGAATTGGGACTTGTACTGGGAACGTCTGGTAAACGTGGACTTTCACTCCGGGCAGGTCGACCGACAACTTGAGCCGGAGGCGCTGTTCGGGACCTGGGACGGTGCACCGCGTCAAGCTGGAGAGCTAAAAGGAAGCTTCCTTGTAACGACACCAGCCACTCACTCACTGCTCGGTACCATACTCCGTACCTTACACATCCCTACTGCGTATCCATACATCCATACATAGCTTCAGTTGACAGTCACTACTCACAGTAGGTATTGATTCACCCTCAACCAGCCATCTCCGTCAACCCAAGGTCGCAGATTTGGGCATTGTACGGCGTGTCACTGAATACAGCCAGATCTCCATTTACCAGGAGTTCCGCCCACGGTACGGATCACATTCACGGTACACTACAAAGCACAGCGCAGGCCGATGATGTTATGGAGAAAAGGGACAAGCTATGCGGAAATGGAAACTCCTTCAGCCCATCCCTTGCCCTCCATTGGTCATCATTTCCCATGGCACCCCGCAATCCCATCCGCTTCCTGTAGCCTGTAGGCGGGCTGTGGCTGGTCCATCTCCGTGCTCCGTACCGCTGTACCGTTACCGCTTGGCCGGGGGTTGAGCTGCGTCTTTCCTTTCCTTTGCCCCGAACCACCTGCGAACCCTCCCCTTCCCTGCAACCCCTCGCGTCCAACCCAGCTCCCAACACCACGCAGACCTGCATCGTCCAGTCAAAGACGAGGCGAATGTACCTTTTGACCTTTCTCCCCAGAGCCCAAGGACACCAAGCTACCCGTCTCCAAACTCGCCAAAGGAGCCCGCCAGCCCGCCTGCCGTCCGCGCCTGGATGCTCCTGGGCCCGTCGGTTGGTCTTGGTCTGGGGGAGGGGAAGGGTTTCTGCGCTAAGGAGAGACAGAAAGACATAATTGGACCTCGCAGCTGTGCCTTGTAAGTACTGTACGAAGTATCCGTAGCGCGTCTGAATGCGACGAACTCTGTCCGCCTACCGATTAGATTCTCCCGTCGACCGGCCGAGCAAACTGAACGCCCAATGACCCCAGCTGGCCCTTCTCGTGATCCATGATAGCCTGTCATTGGGATGACGGTGACGACGTCCAAGAGCATTCACATAGTCTTGCGCTCGTGTGTATAGGCGACGATCCATTCGCTTTCACACCACTCGCGCCAGGGAGCCTGTCTTGAAACGGGGCATCGCGTGTCAATCAGTGTCGGTACTGAAGGTATCTCCTGCCCATGCTTGGAAATAGCCTGTATGGATACCCTGACCGCCTAAAGTCGGCCCTATGATATATATTCATCGATTTACCATCGACCATGTCACTTCATCAAAGCAGGAGATATTGTGAACCACCGTTTTGGTGGAGCTTTCTTCTTGCACCGCGGTTGTGAGCGTCGACATCTCTCTTGGTCTTCTGTCTCGGTTTGTGGCCTGTCTTTTCGTTTCCTGGCGGGAACTCGCCGAGAATACGCCAGTGGTATAAGTGGCGCCCATCACCCGACTTCTTCGTTCATCATCACCTTGGTTGCTGGGGTGGCCGAACCAGACCGAGGACAACCGGAAGCTCCAAGAATTTGTCAATGCGGCAGACTGGTCTCCCGACGCTTTGCTGTCAAATCATTTTGGCGTCGAGCGAACGAGGTCACCAAAGCTTGCCCCTCACCTGCCCAGAGTTCCCCGCACTCTTCTTCCCCAGCGGCGGCGTCGAGTTTGCGTCTCCTAGGTCTCCTAGGCTGACCGCATTGCGCCGCTATTCAGGAAGCTATGCGGCTGTCGCACAGCCAAGCGTACGCCAGCCGAGGACGATGGATGCTGATCACGGCGCGCGACCCTTGAGTGCCGTGGTGTTCCGGCCTCCGTGATTGGCCACGACCCTAACTATGACATATTGATGATTGTGTCCTTTGGCTTGGCTCCCGCGACTCCTTGACGACCTGGCAACGACCATATCAACCCGGATGCTCTCAAAGGCAATGATGTTGTGTTTCAAACAAATACTTGTCCGGTCGTATCGGAGCATCTAACGAGAGGCAACTTCAGCAAAGTCGAGAATTGAGCGGTCCCAGGGCTCCGCAGGCCCCACTGTTCATCGTAGGCATTTCGGGGTCTGGCATTGGGTCGGGATTCAACAAAGTCTCGCAGATTCCGGGGTCGTAATCCACCACACCTGCAGTCGCAATTTGTAACTGTCTTCTTTCTCCTTGCAGATTGTGGGTAATCTCTCAGGCTGCGCACTCGCGCTTGTTGCCGATTGTCCTTCGGAAGAGAAAAAATGCCCCCGAACCCACTGTGATGACTGTCGATGACTGCAGTCCTATCATGCGGCATCTCCGACGTCGGCTGCGGTCCACAGAATAACCTATGGAGGCTGTCAAAGTACTCCGTACGCAGTACATTGGTACGGATAGTAGCATCCACTTGGGTGATCCGTTCTCCATGATACCAGAGTTGTATCAGAGCTATCGTGGCCGCCGTCGAGGTCGCCGTTAGTTGGGGAACCACGGAACCTGCATCTGTAGTTGCAGGAAGCCTAGGGAAGTTGGTAGTCGTATTGCTGCAGCATGTCATGGGCCTGTAGACAAATGGAGGGGCACATCTGTACCAGCACCATGCAGGCGGAAGAAAACCATGGAAAGGAATTGCTGAAGTAGCGAGTGGTGGTGTGCCTGTGTAGTGGGGGGTTTAAACGGAAGTCCCGCTCGTCCTTGCGCAGGTTGAAGAGAGGAAAAGAGATCCATGGATTGCTTGTAAGTGGATGCCATCCTCGGGTGTAGCTGGTGCAACATACGACAGGCAGGTGCTGTGTGCTGTCTACCTTACAGTAGGCACCTACCTCATGTTATTGTGTACCTGACACCTGGCGTTGTCTTCGGGAAAGTGGCTCGCCTCATATCAAGAGCCCCTTCCTCCAACGAGGACACCAAAGCGTCGGCTCCTGTCGAATCCGTGAAGATGAACGGATTGAAGAGCTTCACGTTCCAGTAAGCAAATATTCTCCAGTACCAAAGGTGGCATGATGGTCTCCTGCAGTTAAACACCTCGCCTCCGCGTTTTCCCCCCAGAACCCTTTCACCTAACCCTGGACTCCCCAGACAGCTCACAGACTTCCCGCATTTTACCCCGTGGGCACCCGGATATCCCATGTCCACCAGTGGAAGTACCTCAGTGAAGTAAGGTACCTCGATACACAGGGCAAGCGCGCGCCCGTGCTTGTGATGCTGCGTGCTGCCATTCCAGAAGGCCGGGTCCCTTGCCCTTCCTCACATAGGTGCCACCCCTGCTCCGTTGTTCTTGTGTGTGAGACTGGTTCAACCTAACCTTTCCCTGCTCATCCGGGTCAGTCCACCTGCCGCCCTCTCATAGGATGGACGAATGGAAGTTGTCTTGGCATACCCGACACCCGCGGGGGAAGGCTTGGGCAAAACGCCATCCCGCCGTCGCTGCCGCCGCATCTGTAATTTGTGGCCCGAGAAGGAGGGCTGGAGGGGTCTTCCTTCTTTACGGGAAACCCGGGCGAAGGATCCTCTCACATCTGAGTGATTTGTGTGGAGAAACACAGGGTATGCATTACCTGTCCGTATCAATGAGCGAAAAGAGTGTTGTCGCTTCAACCTTTGGCCGGGGTTTATTCTGGAAATCGGAGATTCTCTCAAATGGGCCATTTAGGTTAAATCACCGCGAGTCCTCCGAGCATCGTGCGGCAGAATATGGATCACTGGCATCCCCATATAAGCGTGTGGGAATTTCGCCCTTTCTGTTGGGGAACTCCTGATGACAGATTGTTGAGTGCAAGAAAAAAAAGAAGAGGAGCCGTCTTAGCCGCTTGCGCGGTGACCTATCAAACTTACGCAATAGGCTCACTTGCATCCTGCGTGAGGCAGCATCGTCGCCTAAGCACCCAAGATATAGAAATTGACATTCTATCCTCGGTACCCTGGTCAAATATCCTAACCGGAAGTATGGGCCCTGCCGTGAGGCTTTGCCGATCGATCATAACACATGCGTGCACTGCGGCTCCGAATGCTCTTTGAGACGTTGGACGCTCGACTTACGAGCATAAACATCCAATCGGGCTGACGGCGAAACACATGAGAGACCCAGCTGGTTGGGAACCGCTAGGTGGGCTTGTTTGCATTTTGGCACTGGCCTAGCGTGCCTGGTAGTTGTACAAGAAGTATGTGCCCCCAACATGTACCGCCTTGAACCCCTAAACGCCTCCTTTTGTATTATCCATTTTGCTCACAACTCCATGCTCATCAAGTACATCTCCATGATCCTCATGAACTTGGCCACGAACGCTTCCAGGTGGAAGATGACCTTCGTGCCCATCCTGATCCGGTGCTCGTAGAATGCCGACCACTTGATCACCTCCGCCTTCAGGGCATCGTCAATCAACGCAATGAGCTTGAAGGTGAGCGTCTTGAGAATCGTGGTTGGGGGTATGCAGTGCGTGAGAAGGTCGTATAGCTTCGCCCGCACCTGTAGAATCCGTGCCGGCGTATGCTCGTCGACAATCTCCCTCGCTATCTGGCTGATGAGTGCCTCCCAGTCTGGCGGCGGGATTGGTGTGCTATCCGTGACTTTCTCGCTGTTGGCTCGTTAGTTTCTGATCCTGCAAATGCCATGCAAAGGTGTTCTACTTTTGTGCGTGGACAGCCTCGTACATGAGTAGAGCTCGTCGCAGATTCCTGCCACTCTCCTGCGCTATCCTCATGTGCAGACCCTTCACCATGGGCCAGTTTTCCTTCTTCGCTGACACTGCCAGGACCTCACAGATCTGTTCGTGGGTTGGTGCAGCTACTCGGACCAGCAATGTTCTCGATCGGATGGGGGCGATGATGTTTGCCGTCGAATTGGCTAGGAGGATCAATCGTAGGTTAGGAGAGTACTTCTCCATCGTGCGACGCAGCGCAGCCTGCGCATCTCTGGTAAGGTGGTCTGCCTCATTGATGACCACGACCTTGAATCTTTGCTTTGCCGACTGGTCGACCTGTTGTGTCTGTGCCACCTCCTTCAGCAGGTCCTGAACGACAACTCTGTCGTAGTTTCCGACGTCTGACGGGGTGATCTCGAGGTGGTAGTTTGACGCGACAATGTTGAATTCGAGCTTGCGGTTACTCGATGTCTGGAAAACACGCGCATCGATCTTGATCTTCTCTACACCGGGTCCGTACAGCTCCTTGAGTGTGGCAACGATACGTGTCTTCTTTCCAGCGCCGGACGGACCGTATACCAACAAATGGGGGAAATCTCCGCTCTGGGCCTGTGAAATGTGTGAGTAGCTGCCTGTGAGGGAGCAGATTTGTAGCTTCCTACCAAAGAGCCAAGTCGGTCTGAAAGCTCTTGATGGTATGTCAGAGCATCTAGTGACTTTGGTCTATGTTTGTCGACAATAAGCGCCATTTTGGATGCTGTGATGTGGGAAAAGTCGTGTTGAAGACTTGAAGTTGGCTGGCGGAGCGGGCTGCAGAGCGTGGGACTTTCTGGTGATGCGCTCTGAAAGAAGACGCGTTCGCGTTAAGTGGAAGATATCTAAGCGTGGCTGGTGGCCTTGGCCCGTGCCCTCAAGCCACACATGGTAGCTTTGAGGCATACACCACTACTTCGCATATTAATGCCTCTATAATTCACTCGATTCCATAAAAACCAATGTGTGCAGAAAACAGTTTTCAATGATAATTCCACGGTAGACTAATGATGAGTCTGAAAGGTATTTTCTTTATTTGTACAGCCGCAATGACACCTCGCCGTTCGGTAAGGTCATCTATAGTACAGCCACTCCATGGACTTGAGATTGCGCTTAGCCTATCTCAAAGTGAAGAGCGGTAAATGTTACAATCATTTTCATCCAAAACTCTAGGGCGCTGCAGACGGTGTAGTGGCAGAGGCCGCGCTGGTGGGCTTGCTCGTTGCCTCAGCCAGCAAGTCCTCAGGCGCAATCGCCTTTCTTGGTCTCTTCAGATCCTCCAACGTAACACCGTTCTCAAGCTTCGTAATACCAACAACAGGAGCCGCTCCCTTGTGTACGAACTCCCATTGACCTAGCATTGAGTCAGTCTTGGCTGTACTTCACGCACTTGGGAATATACTCACCGGGCAACTTGTTACCCGCCAGACGGAAGGCATCCTTCGCAACGGCCTCGTGAAGCATTCCTCTGATTTCGAAAACGATCTGGTTGACAGCAACACGCGCCGCCCAATGATCGAAAGAACCTTTTCCCTTACCCATACGCATCTAGTCCGGGAATTAGCACTTGACTATCACCCATAATTCCTCATCGTCCGCCTTACCTCGTTACCAGACACATAGACACCAACGTTGCAGCACACTCTCTTGTACA